GATTATGTACGGTGAAGTTTTCATTTTTTAAATTTACCATCCTGACATAGAGGTAATTACTCAGGTTCAGCAAAACAAATTAAAGTATTTAGTGTTTAGAAAAGAGCATGTTGACCATCAAGCTCAGTGTGTGACCACTTGAGCATAACATTTCAGCCTTTTTTGTTGGCTCTTGTTCACATGCGTTGATAAGTCACAGTCAATTAAAACAAACAGTGAAGCACCTATGCACATGTTAGCTTCAAATTAGTTCATAATCAGTCAAGTTAAAACTTCAATTAATGTTTCTCACTTGTCTCGCAGAGAAATTTTAGATGTGAATAAGCTGACAACGGCTAAAGTAAGCAATTTGTGTGCTACAAATCAAAATGATTTCAGCAATAAGTACTAAGATGTTATTAATTGGAGGTAGTGCCAAGTTTCTAGTGACGAAGACAAACAAGAGCATAAGAGTTTGGAGTAATTACAACTTTCAACAGCTTTGCCCGAAAGCTTGATTTGACTCATTGTCTGTTTAATCATCTTGGGATTGAGGCTCATTAAAAATATACTGGTACACTTCTCACCCGGCAAACGAAAAGTGAGTAAATATATTCCTACCTAGGGAGCAAGGCTAATTAAAACAACCTAGTACCCTTGTCGTGTGATGGTCCAAAAAGTTAAAAGCAACTGCTCATCCTGGGACATGGGCTCATTAATAAAACACCAGCACTTGTGTCATAAGGGGACCATAACTGAGTAAAACATTGTCTGTCAAAAGGGTACCCAGGCTCATTAAAACATACTATTCTTGTTCTAAGCAGTTCCACCAGGATAATGACCGGATCTGTAACTGAATCCAAGTAGGCATGTGTGGTAGGGTTGGACGATGTCTACCACATTGCAAGACTTTTATAAGCTACTCCTCCATTTGAGTGTGAGTAATCCTATAGTCACACTTGGAAAACTGGTGTTTGAGCCCACAGCACTACCAAATTATTGCAACTGTGTGCAATGACATTGCAGTATTCTTGCCTTTGAAATGGTTACTGCAAAGATGGGTACCAGGTCTCTGACCACTCGCACTCTGTTGCTGTCTTCCAAAACAAATTTGGTCAGTCCTTTATCAATCAGATAAAGGACTGACCAATGAATGTAGCCATCAATGAATGGGATCAAGTTAGCAAGTGCATGCAATCTCTTTGTGATAATACAGAGATCAAATGTGATCATTTGACCACATACACTGGGATTCACTTAAATTCACTATATAAACTGTTTACAATCAGAGTCCAGCCAGAACCTCATAGACTTAAAGCAGTAATTCAGAAATTCTTCCACAAATAGTGACATAGTTGTTGCAAGAAGGAAACTTAACTACAAAATGACACAGGTACTCAGTAACTTTGCTTTGACTGCCATATACTGGCTGGCAACTTGTTGAGCCAAGTCCTCCTTTGCAAAGAGACATGTGCAAACCTTTGTATTTGCCATTTAATCTGTTGGAAAATGATTGCAATCAGTTTGATTTGGATGACAATTGTTTGCAGACATGTTCCCTCCCACCAGGTTACCTGCACAGGAACTACTTGCAATGGGTCTCTGACTGCAAAACAATTCAGTGCAATCATTGGCTAACCACCAACGTTTCCTAACTGAACAAAACTTGTTATATTTTTACTCTACTGTTACTGAGCTATAATATCTATAATATCTATATAGTAAATATATAGATAGTGTGTTTGTTATAACATGGTATTTGTTCTGTGTTTTAATGGGATGAGCCAAATAAAATGAACATTAACACTCTTGATTGAGCCTTTAGAGATGCTGGATCTCATTTAACTTTGGGCATGTGTTACATAAGGATAACTTGTAAGGGGAAATGCACTTTTAAAACTTAGTTTGAAGCAAGATACCAAAATTGAGGCTAGTTTTTTTTTTTGTTTTAACATTTTGGCTGATCAGTGCACGTTCCCCTTCTATCTCTGCGCAGATGCATGGGCGCTCAAAGACGCTCACCTCTGACTAACACCCCTGTCACTTAAATGCCAACCAGATAAATCTCAAGGACTAAGAGTTAAATGGAATATTAATATTCAGATAAATCGAGCAGAAAGTCAAGAGAGTTTTACGCTGAGCTCTCCCATAGGTGATGACTTCATTTATCCTTCACCTTGCTTCAGCTTCCCCTAGGTTCAGAGAAATCAGAATGTGGATATTTTTTCAGCATTACAATAACTTATTGTAGGCAACTTTTCCCCTTTAGTTATTGCTCGTGTTAAACTCATTGGATATTACTGATATATTGTGAAGTGATAGAAGAGATACTCTTTATCACTTGGGCTGTAAAGCAAGTGATTTAAAGATTGAAACACCCACCAGGGCTGGACTGGGACAAAAAAAATCAGCCCGGGCATTTTGACTAGTGACCGGCCCACCATGGTATTATAGGAAAAGCCAAAGAGCCTTTATAATAAACTTAAACCTACACCATCCTCCCTATTCTGGTATTCTAAACAGTATTTAGCAAAAATATAAAACAACCTAATTTATAATTACATATACCTAACTAATAGGGTTGCCAACTCCCAGCAAAAAAAAAGAAAAAAAAAGGGAACCACTCCCGTACCCTCTGCCTCAAGATGCTTAATTGACAAAACCGATTTTAATTTAATGCACGTATAAAACAAATGCACAGAAATCTATTATTTTTCTCCAGTAATTAAATGGATTGAACATCTTTCTTCAACAGAATAGCAGACTGCACAGATGGTACCTTCCCAAAGGAAAGAATACTATAACTTACTAGGGTATATACTAGACTTGATATTTACTGAATACAATAATGGTAAATGGCCTGTATTTGTATAGCGCTTTTCTAGTCCCTAAGGACCCCAAAGCGCTTTACACAACCTGTCATCCACCCATTCACACACACATTCACACACTGGACTTCTTTACATTTTACATCAGATGAAAACTTTGGTTGGAAGATTCAGATAATTATTTATTGAAAGCTAAACATTTTAAATGAGAATAAGAAAGAAAAGTGTTTCTTTGTGCCCCCCTTTCCCTGTTAATGCCCTGCCTGGCCCCCTGGCAAAACTTTGCTAGACCCACCCCTGCACAGTTACCAGCCGTCAGCTACATAGAAAGGATCCTGGTGTTATTTGTCTCTCAGAAACAGTTCATAACTTCAACTCATTCATGTCACCTAAAAGGTAAACCTGTTTCTCCGTCACCTGTTCAGCTCTGATGATTCAGTAAGGACATCTCCTGGTTTCATCTTCATGTTTCTCTCTCACCACATATCCAAACCGATATCATGACGAGCAGCTTTTACAGCTGTGGCTCCAGCAAACATCAGCTGATAGTAGAAATTAACATTAAATACATTCTAACAACAGCTGATCAAGCTTAAACGTGCTGCTGTTGTGTAGCGCGACCTCCGCTTGTTTCCTCTTTCTGGCGCAAGAGAAACGCCAATCAGCTGATCAGCTGATCAGTTTCATGATTGATTTTGCATCTTTCTAGCTGAAGTAGTACGGGACAAATTGCGTTCCTTTTCACCTCAACTATAAAGTTCGACCTCCTCGGCTGTAATTGGTTCAGCCCAGAGTCGATCATGACCAACTGGCCAATCCACCACATCATTTATACCGTTAAAAAAAGAAAAGAAATAAAACCCCATCGGCCCATAAAAATGAAAAATCACGAGCGGCCCACTGGGCAAATGCCCGGTATGCCCGATGGCCAGTGCAGCCCTGACACCGACCTTAATATTTACATTGGAATCAATAGCATGTCTTTGGTTAGGTAGGCTATTCTGCTTTTGCTTCTTTTGTTTCTTCTTCTTGTATATTATTTGTAATTTCAATGAAACTTTCATATAAATGCAACTATTACATGACATTTACTAAATTAGTCCATCTTTAAATCGGTCTGTAAACAAGACAAAGGACTTTAGGTGATGACCATATACATTTACAACATAAAGATCCCCATTAAATTGCTATTTCTAACTTTGAGCTTGTAATAGGTTGCAGTTTCACTGTGGTGGTTCACTGTCAGGTTTGCCTCCCCAACTGTTTTTGGAGTCTTGTGAGGTTTACTATCAACATTCTTATCTGTCATGCAGCACCAACAGGGAGGTGTCTAATTAGTCCCAAATTCATTCTGCAGCATGACAACGGTCCCAAACATACAGCCAGAGTCATAAAGAACCATCTTCAGAGGCAAGGAGTCCTGCAACAGATGGTATGGCCCCCGCAGAGCCCTGATCGTAACTTCATCATGGCATTCTGGGATTTCATAAACAGACACGAGCAACTGAGATGAACTATGGCAACTCCTCCAAGACTTTACCTGCTGGACACGTTGAACAACTGTGTTTACGTGTAAAATCCAAACACCAATAAAGCTATTACTTTTCCATATGCAGCCTCTTCAAACCACCATATTGGTATTTCAACAGCAGAAATATAGTTTGGTCTGCTGAACCAAGGTGCAATTACAGTACTTTGAGCCATGACAGTAATTAAAAAAAAAAAAAAAAAAATCATCATTATTTTATGCATAATTGAGATAAAAATTTACTTTTTTCAGGGTGAGCAGGGAGGACTATCGCTACATGGTACACTGCATGTAAGTCATAAAATCAAAAAGAATCAATAACCCACGAAGCGTGGCTTAAGCAGATGGTATTAATTCTGAAGTACTGGCAGAAATGGGTATAAAATGTAATATAAACAGGAAAAATGCTGTAGTAGATGTTAGAATAAAAAGTAAAAGCGATTACATTCAAGATCCCCAGACAAGACCTTGTCACACATGAAATCATGAAAGAATAAAAAATCCTGCACTTTACTACCTAAAATAAGCCTTGACTCAAAAAAGTCATGCACAGTGCTGATATTAAAGCAGACTGAGGTACTGAATGAGACACATGAGACAAAACAAAGAGACAAAGTGGAGAGGGAGGACAGTGATCAGGACATGCAAAGAGAAACTCGCTTTACCTTCCGTGTCTTGGCCAAGGCAGGTTGATAGCATCAGCAGATACAGGACTCCCATTCCTGTTACACTTGACCATTTGCACCAGCCCCATGACAGCGGCCCCGTTAAGTGCATTCTAACCATCTTCACCACCATGCTTCACCAAGCATCCAGCTGGGCGAACAGAGAGAGACAGAGCAGACAGTTAGTCCCAATCAACTGATTCACTTTTAGCTGTGCAGTGTGCAACATTGAAAGCAGCAGCATAAAAACATCTGGTGGCCTCACTCATTGGAAAATAGAGAAGAAAAAAAATTCGAGTAAATTGCAGGTGTTGCCTTTATGTAATGCCTGACCTGTACCCAGGGTCTCAGTGAAATGCAATCTGGAAGCATATTTAGAGATTCTCTCCACAACTAAAAGAAACAGGCAGCAGGCAAAAGGAGTTGCAGAGCATTTGATTGCAAGTCTTCTGAGAGAGCAGAGAGACTCTGCAGAGGGTTATGGATATGGTTAAGCTTAGATTAATGTAATGTGAAAAACACTTCACCTGCAATCTACTCCCTTGCATTTGAATCTCAGCTTACCAAGTTTGACTTCTTGGAAATGGATGCACCGATTTCCCATCCCTTCAGTTGAAAAAGACACTTTCCATATTGACATCGCCCTCCATTACATCCCTATGGGTGAGACACCATCCCAATCCAAAGCTCAGATATCATTTAATATTCGTTTTGTGTCTGTACCTCACAGCCACTTTGTGGCAATCTAACATCTTTGATCAATCGTTGTGCTCGTGCATGAAAGCAAATGATTGTTTCACAGGGATTGCCGCCACAATGGGAAATATAGAAACCTGTGGATGATGAGAGGAAAGGAAATATTTTTGTGCAGTGTAAAATGCCAGTGGTGCTAACAACATTTCAGATCTTGCGGTGGAAAATGTGCCACATTTGAAATGCTCCACAGAAGAGTGGAGAGATATATTAAGCTGGCGTGCATGCAGTCTTGTTTGTGTGTGTGCATGTGTGCGAGTGTGTTTTAACCACTTAGGATGAGATTCATTAAATGTCATAGTGAGAACACAGAGATGAAGGGGAAAAAGTTTCTTTGAACTTAAAGAAATATTTGTATACTGTCTGACTCTGTGTGTACATATCTATTAATTGGTCTTGGATTGGTTTGTAGCAGCATCATTTAAAGTGAGTTCAGTTAAGTACAAGGAAAAACATCTTTCAGTCACTCACGATACTGACACACAACTACATTAATCTAAACACTCTCAGTCAAGGGTGAGCCACACCTAAGCTCTCTTATGTATGATCTAAGGTCTGGTAACTGTCTGTTAATGTTCAAACCCTTGCAATTTTAGCTTTTAATTGAACGCAGTTCCTACAAATCAGATATTTGTTAAATGTCACGGCTTAAACACAGAGCTGAGTACAAGGGAAATTCAAAATAGCACTCATAATATCAAATCAAGCACCTCCATGCTGTGCTTTCATCTTTCTATCAGAGCTGTAGTGTTTTTCTGCACAAGGTTTCAGTTAGTCAAAGGAGCTTGCAAAGAAAAGCGTCTGCAAAGAAAAGCGTCTGGACTTTGCAAGCTCCTTTGACTACGATGACCTGGATGACTGAGAACCTTCACAGACAAGGTTTCAGTTACTTACATCTGTAGCTACAGAGGACGAGTCAAGCGCCGACACTGACGGTGTCTCTTGTTAAAAGTTCATTTCTCCCAATCACGGAATTCAATTACGTGAAATATTCGAGATAGTGAACTATTATATGCAAGCACCTTACCCTTGTTTCATTCTTTATCTGCTTATTTTTGCAGTCACACTGAGAACATTATTTAATCTGCATAAAATATTACCCTGAGCAGGACCTTAATATACTGATACTGAACTCAACTAGGCTTATTCGGTTAGGACAACATTAACTGCTCCTCATCATGCAAAATCTGCTGTCTGTTTAATTAGAGACTAATTTATGAATCTCCCGTGGCAGAAATTCCTGTGACAGAGTCAAATTACTTTTGCCCAACCCTCTGAGTGGAGATAAAGTTGGCTGACAATGAAAATAAAACTGTGATATTCCACCAAACCTCTGAGGGGAAACTCTGTAGTGACTGGGACTTGAACTAAGAGCAGCTTTATTTAACAAGTGCCTCTTAGACTAAATGATTCTCATAACCGAGTATGACATATTAATAACAAGTTTTTCCCGCTCTATGCACGTACGTTTCCAGCTTTAGAAATGACAGTGTCACAGCAAGCCTGCAGGAATCTTAAAGCTCCTTGGATATTGTAGAGACATGCTGTCTCAACAGAGAAAGGATGTCTCAGCTTCAGAAGAGGGAGCCAGAACAATGCCCCAGGGCCCAGACGGTAAAAGCAGCCCAGTATTAAGCGGGCACTACCACACTGCAAAGAATGCATATATTTGCTGTCAAGTCCTGGATCTTCTTGGGAGCCAGAGCTGAACTTTATGTAGTTTACATTTTCCTTATGAACTGAATTTTAGCTGCACATATTTACTCAATTATTCCAAACTCCACTAATTAAAAATAAGCGGAGCTTCTGAAAAGTTTTGCTGGCACTGGTCGTGCTGGAAAGTGTATTACTGTATGTGTGGGATCGCTTTTATGGCAACAAGTGTCTTTTAGCAGCATTTTAAGTGTTTAACAAGCCAAAGCAAAAAAAAAAAAGTTGCGTAAAAGAAGAAGAGAGCGGAATGAATGCACTGTCAGGACTTTAGATTGGAGTGGTTGTGTCAATGAATTTGCTGAGCATAAGGTCGAAAGATGAAGTACTGATGGGTGAGCAGTTCGTCTTTCTGCTTTTGTAAAGAATTCATGTGCGGAAAAACTGTAAAAGATCTAGAAGTTGATCCACTGGAAATGATTCTTGAATGAAAGATTCGATAATGAGGGATTCGCTTGTTTGGAAGGTTACCCCATCCGGTCAGTCTGTGGGGACCTGTGGTTAATGGGCTTCTCCATTTTTTCCTCCATGCCTGTAGACATCACAGTTGTCTTTCTGTTACTTTAGCAAGTTGCATTTACTCCAGTGTGATGTGGTGGTATGTCAGCCCCGGGGCCAGTCACGGAGGTGTTAGGCCTGTGGGCAGATGGGTCTAATTTTTATGAGTCCTAAATGTTTCAAAACTTTGAGTGCACATCTTACACACATCATTGTTTTCATCCTGTACATTGACACAGTGCCTCTTTCTATTAAATTCTCAGACATTTTCAGAGCTTCTCCCCCTTCTAACATGAACCACCCAGATCAATCAAAGTTTGAACCAAAACTGCAAGCGAGGCAGCTGTTTATTCTTTTCTTTTTTTTTTTAAAGGGCCAAACAAAATTATGCCAGTGTGTTACATAATGACATACAGAAGTCACCGATAGAGGGTGAGAGTCTAAACAATGCAAACTAGCCAGCACTGTTTGGACACGAAGGAACCTTTATAGTGGAATTTCAGCTGTGCAACTGTGTTTAGCTATTAAACATCCTATAAAATGCATAACAAAACTGAAAACCAAGCAATCAAGTGAGCACACTAATAAACTATAGTGTCAGTTACTCAGAAAACATCCACAAAGTAAAATAAGCTAAAGGAGATAAGTTGCTAAGCGACTGTCTTGATAGATTTTATGTGTGTATTTATGAATTGATTCATTGCACTTAAATACATACTGTACAATGTGATTAACTGAATCAATTAATCATATTCTGCAGCTAAATTGTGTGGCGGTTTGCACTGTGCATAACAAAATGCCAGCTCACTTTGCTGCTGTTAGTGGTGCTAGCGCTAGCAGGTTTTCTTCTTTGCATCCATGCCCTTCTGCTCAATGTAGTTATGCATTGTTCAGATTACAAGAGGGAATATGGCAGTTTACTCTACCACAGCCAAAATACAGGAGTTGGCTATCTGTGTCCTTCCATAAATAGTCATGTTACAGTCATAGCTAATGCTTGTGTTTTATGGCTTATGTTTTTGTATAGTTGCTAAAAGCAACTGTGAATAATTATTTAGCCGTTTAGCTCCATTAGCTCCCTGTTAGTAACCACTATCTTCAAAGCAGTCTCTTCCTCCTCTTTGCCTGCTTAGATCAGCTCTCCTTTCACCTTGCTTGTTTACAACCTTCCATCACGGAGCGAGCTGCTGCTGTTTGCTGGGACTAGAGGCAGTTTGCTGAGTAACATCTTACAACTGATAGTTTATTGCCATTAACAATAATAAAATATGATACCAGCAAGTATTTCTGGTGCTGACTAGTAAGAGAAGGAATGCTCTAATCATCTGCTTGCATTCACCCCTAAAAATCATGGCATCATTCATTAAAGCTGATTAACCTCCTTAGGGAAGCATGGATGTCATATTATGATCCTGATAAAACACCAAAGAGCTCAAAAGGTGAGTTTGAAGTGTATTTAAATGACAAATGAAACACAAAACATAATTTGTCAGCGTTATAAAGTATTAGTGGATTTTTTTCAACATAATTGGGTCAATTTTATATCATAAATTTAATCCTTTTTCCCAATAATCAACCACAGGTGATGCTATATTCAAGGTTCTCAAATAACCTTAACTCCTAACTCCTAGCAAAATCCCATGATGCATATTTAATTTGTACATTGAGCAACTACAAGCATACAGATATCCTAAAGCGTACAGGCTAAATATGTCATGGCATTTATTATGGACATGATGTGTATAAGCATAGCAGATACAGTATGCAAATGAAATTTAGATGTATTTTGAATAATAGCTGTCATCAGTTTCCTCTAAAAATGGTTTAAAAAATAAAACGTGCTTCAGGGTCAAGATGTTACTTTCGATTAAGTATGTAGCCACTCAACAACAATTATTTTAATTGTCACACAAACAATAATGAGTCACAGTTGCCTTTGAAGCCCAGTCACCCTTTGAAGTGAGACTCTCATAAGTTAAAATCACTGAGTTCATAACCTCAAACCTTAACAACCATGGCAGTATTAATCGTAGGTATAGATTTGTGCTTTATTAGACGTCATATTAAAAAGATGAACTCTGACTTTGAGGTCAAGGTCAATGAGATTAGGTGATAAAACTGTGGTATCAGTTCGAAAACCCGGCGTCACCTTGTACTCAAGTTATCGCATTGACAAACTTGGGTGAGTAA